ACTTGCTTCAAATGTAAAAATGAAACACAAAATATGCACCACAACCACCAACGTGTGACTCGCCAACACACGGTTCACTGAACCTTTGAGCCATGGGCAGTGTGCTGTTTAGGGGCAAAAATTGCATAAATTAGGTTAAATAATGTATTTAATTGGCTATTATCAGATATGTGTATATATATATATATACAGTACAGACCAAAAGTTTGGACACACCTTCTCATTCAAAGAGTTTTCTTTATTTTCATCACCATGAAAATTGTAGATTCACACTGAAGGCATCAAAACTGTGAATTAACATATGTGGAATTATATACTTAACAAAAAAGTGTGAACTGAAAATTGTCTTATATTCTAGGTTCTTCAAAGTAGCCACCTCTTGATGAGTTTCAAGAGGTAGTCACCTGAAATGGTCTTCCAACAGTCTTGAAGGAGTTCCCAGAGATGCTTAGCACTTGTCGGCCATTTTGCCTTCACTCTGCGGTCCAGCTCACCCCAAACCATCTCGATTGGGTTAAGGTCCGGTGATTGTGGAGGCCAGGTCATCTTGCACAGCATCCTATCCCTCTCCTTCTTGGTCAAATAGCCCTCACACAGCCTGGATGTGTGTTTGGGGTTATTGTCCAGTTGAAAAATAAATGATGGTCCAACTAAATGCAAACCGAATGGAATAGCATGCCGCTGCAAGATGCTGTGGTAGCCATGCTGGTTCAGTTTGCCTTCAATTTTGAATAAATCCCCAACAGTGTCACCAGCAAAGCACCCCCACACCATCACACCTCCTCCTCCATGCTCCACAGTGGGAACCAGGCATGTAGAGTCCATCAGTTTCTGCGTGGCACAAAGACACGATGGTTGGAACCAAAGATCTCAAATTTGGACTCATCAGATCAAAGCACAGGTTCCCACTGGTCTAATGTCCATTCCTTGTGTTCTTAAGCCCAAGCAAGTCTCTTGCGCTTGTTGCCTGTCCTTAGCACTGGTTTCCTAGCAGCTATTTTACCATGAAGGCTCTTGGTCTTCCGTTCCTGGGGCGGTCCTAATGTGGGCCAGTTTTTGTAGTGCTTGATGGTTTTTGCGACTGCACTTTGGGACACTTTCAAAGTTTTCCCAATTTTTCAGACGGACTGACCTTCATTTCTTAACCCTGTAAAACCCAAATAAGAAAAACACACACATATTTCTTTCAACCACTCAGATGTTGTTGGAGGCCTTTGAGGCTGAAACTGATGTGTTTTCAAAAATGTTATTTTTTAGTAAGCTTTTACAGAAATATTGCCAAATGGGGAGCAGAATTTCCTGTATTTGTACTCATTGTCTTAACAATACAGAACTACGGATTCATTTGCAGGGTTTTTCTTTTATCCCAGAACAGTATAACATGAAAAACAATCTCAGTCATGTTTTTATGAACAGTTTTTTTTTTTTTTTTTATTCCAGCAAAGAGAAATTTTTATTAACAATGATATTCCCAAAAACTGTTCCTTTCCCCTGAAAAACAGAGGCGAACATCGCACTTGCTGCAATGGGTATTCGTATACCCTTTACTGCAATGTCTGCAACTTCCTCTCTGGACCTTCATGGGGAAGTGTCCACTTCATGGGGAAGTGTCCAGTGAGGTCCTTGCGCACATCGTGTGGGGGGGTGCACATGATTTCTTGGAGGGACAATTTGGACTCCCATCATCTGAGGATGGTCTCTTCCTAGCAGTCAAAGGACTCCCCGCCCACTGCCTGATGATGGATGTTCCGTTTTTTGGAGTTGTGAGTGTTGTGTCCATCTGATTTGAAAAAACAATCAATATGAATAATACTAATCAATTCATGTACGGGTCAAAAATGCATGCAGATATCGTAAAACATGGCTAATAGCAGAAATAGATTCTGCTTGTTTTTTTTTTGCCAGGATGAGAGAGGATGCTAGCTGTGCCCGGAACTTTCTCATGTTTAGCATCTCCTTCTTTGGCATTGCGAAGGCCCGATAATGCCGTTTGTAGAGGAGCCAGGAGTTGACCACAGCGAGGGTGATGGTGTGCCAGAAGAAGTACGTGTACCAACGCTGGGATTTCAGGGTGAACTTAGATTTTGCTGTAAATGAGTCCAACAAATCCACACCTCCCATGTATTTGTTTTAGGTAGCCACAATGAAAGGTCTTTCAACGTCAATGTAGGTTCTGGTGGCTTTGTCCCAGCGCTGGATCTCCTGAACAGGTTCTGGTCCAGTGAAGGAAGACACAAGTGTGACTGCCCTGTTGTCATACCATTTCACAGCGCAGATCTGTCATAACTTCTACCATAATCATTAGTATTAATATCATTGCCATTTTTCATCCAGTATATGTGTTGCTGTGTTGGCTGCCTCTCTCTCCTCCCTCTGTCCTTCTCTTGCCCTCTCTTTCTCTCACCCCCAACCGGACGAGGCAGATGGCCGCCCACCCGGAGCCATGGTTCTGCTCGAGGTTTCTGCCTGTTAAAAGGAAGTTTTTCCTTGCCTGTGTCGCCTAGTGCTTGCTCATGGTGGGAATTGTTGGGTTTCTGTAATTAACTTCAGAGTAGGGTCTGACCTGCTCTGTTTGGAAAGCGCTGTGAGATAACTGTTGTTGTGATGTGGCGCTATATAAATAAAATTGAATTGAATTGAACAGGTTCTGGTCCAGTGAAGGAAGACACAAGTGTGACTGCCCTGTTGTCATACCATTTCCCAGCGCAGATGTTGTGAGTCCCCTCCACTCTGGTCAAAGCTTCCTCTACCCTTCTTCTTCAAGCTCTTCTCATCTTCAAGGTTGCAGTCGGGGAGCCGCACCTCCCTGGCTGTACCCGCATAATGGATTCCGTGCTCAAGGAGCTTTACTACCAGTGGAACGGAGGTGAAGTAGTTATCTGCATAGATATTGTAGTCTTGACCCTTTGGAATTTTTCGAGGCAAGCTTCAATACAATATCACTTGACAATCCAAGTTCAGATTTGACGCGTATTCCATTCTTGCTGCGCTGGTAAACATCAAAATCAAGCATCATCCCAGAGATTCCAGCTCTTACCCATACTTTGAATCCACATGGGTATACTGCTTGATGCTGCTGAACTTCCCCTTGAAAGGAATCATCATCTTATCCACAGAATTGTGCTCTTCTGGTACCACCCTGCAGGCATTTCTCCCTGAATGATTCAAGCCATGGTCTGAGTTTCCAGAGTTTGTCCTTCTTTTCAATCTCTGACACTGTCTAATTGTTCACAAAATGTCATTTTGTCAACAGAGATTGGAATCTGTCGCCTGGCATCAGTAATGATGACCGCTCATATTTCTGTACTTAGCTGCTTTTTTCTTGCCATAATACAAATTCTAACAGTCTATTCAGTAGGACTATCAGCTGTGTATCCACCCGACTTCTGTACAACATAAATTATGGTCCCAACTCCATTTATAAGGCAAGACATCCCACTTATCAAACCTGACTGGGGACACCTGTGAAGTGAAAACCATTTCAGGTGACTACCTCTTGAAAAACATCAAGAAAATGGAGAGTGTGTGCAAGGCAGTAATCACAGCAAAAGGTGGATACTTTTAAGAACCCAGAATATAGGACACATTTGCAGTTGTTTCACACTTTTTTGTTAAGTATATAATTCCACGTGTTAATTCATAGTTTTGATGCCTTCAGTGTGAATCTACAATTTTTAATGTCATGAAAATAAAAAAAACTCTTTGAATGAGGTGTGTCCAAACTTTTGGTCTGTACTGTGTATATATATATATATATATATATATAAACTTTTTTTTAAAAGCATTCAGTATAGTCTTTTTTTTATTCAAGTTGACAGCTGACTGAAGACTTCAGCACACAGAAGCAGGATGATATAAAAAATAAGGCTCTTTTGTCTCTTAATTATGGAGATGGCTTCAAGTAGACTGAGTATTTTATTTGAAAGCAACCTCTTTTTTTCGGAGTTCAAAATATTTGTGATGCATTCAAAAATAAAATTTAATTTGATTTTATAAATGCAAATGCAACACACTATAGTTTTTTGGATATATGATATATGCAATATATTCAGTGTTAGCTTCATATATGTCAAAATGGGTTTTTGGCATTCTGTTTTTTTTTTTTTCAGTGGAAGAAAGTTTCGTTAGCTTTTACTTTGATTTATGTATGATGATCACATATGTTGAGAAAATTTTGGTGATCTTTTGGGGGAAATTTTTCTAAATCAATTGAATATCAAAACATGGCCTACTTTATTAGATTTAAAAGGCAACTGTCTGTGGCTATTGATAGGTATTAGACAAAAAAACAAACAATTGAAAGACATTGATTAACACCACACCGATCATAAATGCTTAAAAAAATATTGGGTATTTAATTAATAATACACATATTCTTTACTTTTCTTGATTTAACTGAAGAAAAAGTATGTTTATTCACAGGCTATGTGCCAACATAAAGCTATATCCATTCTAAGGGGTTCAAAAACCATGTCTACTAAACAATCAAAAACAGCGTCAAATTCTTTAACTTTATTCAGCTGCAGTTTTGGCCACACTTCAAATTAAAAACAGATTATTTAGCCATCTCACTGACAGTCTCAATGTTCCTATGTGGTATTAGTATATTGCATATTTTATACAAATTATTGGTATAATCAAAATATTTTTACAAACAAAAATATTGCATAATGGAAAACTTTATTTTTTAAAAAGAGCAATTGGCTCTTGAAGTCATCACAAATCTCAAATTTTCATTTTTGTTAAGACTTTTAGTCCAAGTTTAAAAGACCTTTAGTTCAAGTTCTTTCAAATTGAAGTAATTTCTTGCTATGACTTTTCAAAGGTCTTTACAAAAATCATTACATGGGCTTTAGTTCAATGCTCATTATTAACTGCTATCAAACGGTCATTATTTTGAGCTTGTAAATGAATGCTTTCAGTCAGTTTACTTTCAGTCAGTTTTTATGTCAGATCTGACACTGAATAACACATTTCTTTGTAAAAGACCAAGAATAATCAAATTAATTCTCCTTGTTGCTTTCCTGCTGTACAAAAACTGTTAGAACCTCTACCTTGTTTTTCTATAGGAGTCCTAATTGTAATTGCATTTATTTTTTTCCACAAACTTATACACATCATTCTCAAATAGATTGATTTGGTTTCTCTACACTTAGATTACCTCTCAGACTTAAATAGTCTGTGAAAATATCGGCCCGTTTCCTTCAGTTTGCAACATTTAGCACAAACTGAAAACATTGTCCCGAATCATCCACTTTATTGTGTGGTACTTCACGTTTCTTCCTTTTTTTTTTTTTTAAAGGAGAACTATAATCACTAAGCAGTAAACACATATGCCAATTTTAAATTCCCATCGATAACTTTCCCACATACTTTTACCATTCACTTTTTAATGTTTTTGTAGAGACCTAATTTGGTTTTTTGCTCTCTGGACATGACTAAATACTGTTTTTAAAAACTTGTTTGATTTGCATTTATTTCCGGAATATTTTTAAGCACAAGCTATCATTTTTTTTACCAGTGTAAAACCTTTTCCTTCCATGTCAACAGACATGTCCTGACCATATCTGCATTAATGTATCTTTTAAACAATCATCTGATTAAGTACTTTCATGCACAATGTTCAGTCAAAACATGATGTGGTAGAGAAACCACCAATAACGCGATATATTAGTTTTAGCTATCAGTTTCTTTCAAATTACATTTTAGAAGACACAAGGTGATACTTTCAGCCTTCACAAAGGCTTGCTAGACCACACGATGACGATGCGCTTCAAGTTCTATTCTCCTACCAGTCAGAGGGATTATCACCGGCCTCACCCGTGTTGTCTTTATCAGGCGTTTTAATGAACATCATTACTAATCCAATCTCATGTATGCAAAAGGAGAAACAGGTGAACTGCTTCTGTTGAATAACTGACTTACAGTCTAAAAGCGTCGAATGCCAGATGGTTTGAGCCTGTGCAAATCCAGCCATGGAGGACAGAGCCTGAGTGTAGCCCTGCCAGCAGACTGCGTAACTCCCATCAGCTCTACACTTACAGTGCACTGTGGCAGGTTTGTGACAGTAAAGGACAATGTTTGACACTTGAATAGACAAAGGTTGCCAACAGACAGACAGATATGTCAGGACAGGGATAGTGCAATGCTCCACTTCTTCTTCCATTAGTCTCTGAAATAGGTGTCCCTCCTCCCCAACTCACTGACTACGAGATCAAATCAGGACCGTTTACTTGCCCGTATGTGTGAGTCGCTAATCACCTTTCTTTCTAAAAAATGCTTTCCCCTCAGTGACTCTGTCTTTGGTTTCCTGTAGTTTCTCAGAGAGTTTGTCCTTTGTCTCTTCCATTTTCTCTGAAAAGCGTTCTTTTGTTTCTTCCATTTTTTCTGAAAACCTCTCCTTGGTTTCCTCCATTTTATCCTGCAGGTATTCTTTAACGGGCGGAGGCGTGGACAAATAGCCGTGCTTGCGGAGGTACTGGACAGATGCTGACGTGCCGCCCAGAGTCACAGCGTATCTAGCGGGGGTTGCAATCTGCAGAAAAAGGACAAATGTTTCTGGTGAGATTATTGTAACTCTATTTAACCAGACTGTGTCTTTTCAAATCACCATGAAACCACATATGCAAGTGAAAAATTAACAACTGTTCAAGATGTTCTTGTGAAGTAATGCTGAAAAACAATTAGCAGAACTTGTGCAATTTAGGTTTTTGTTTTTTTGCAAACCAAAAAAGTTATAAAAAAGTGGAAAGAGAGGGTCATTGTTGGAAATACCTTATACATGGCGTAGGCAGTCAGAGCATACCCGCTTGAGGAGTCTCTCAAAAGGCCAACTAGTGACTCTGGTAGACCAACTATCTCCAAAAATGCAACTACATTTACTCCTCTGAGGGGGAAATAAAGCAAAAACATGGAGAGAAGAGTTACTATTTCAAATCATACGAAATAACATTTACAGTGTTTCAACAACGGATATAATTCTGTTCAATCTAAACAAGTTTACAGCATCACTCACTTCATAGCAGCATAGTAGAAGGTTCCAAACCACACGGAGGATGTTGCCAGGTGTACTGGAATCAACACCTTCCCGTACTGTTTGAGGGTCTTTTTAAACCTCTGATACAGACCGATGGACTTATCCTGAAGTGGGTCTATCTCTGCCATTTCTGGCTCAGGTTCCTTTGTCTGGGCATTTTGCGACGAAGACGCGGAGCTGGAATCGGGCTCCTTTTGAGGTGGTTGGTGCTTTGGTGGATGCTCTGCTCGGCTGCTGGCTGAGGCTGACAGCCATCGCGTGCCGACAGGTTGCAGCGGTGACGGGTGGAGTGTGCAGCAGCGAATTAAGATCGCACACTCCGGTGTGGCGGCACCCGCCATCAGCATCCGCACTGCTGCTGCCCGCCGTAGCATCCCGGGAGTAAGTATGCGCTGCATTATCATCTTTTCACCTCCTTCCTCCTCACTATTTAACCACAGATAGAAAGCAGACAAATCAAAATGTATAATCTGAGTGATTAGTATAACACTGATTGTAAAACAAAGTGTCAATCTTTAATTGTAAAGCTTCAAATTAGGCATGAATTTCACGATTAGAAAACAAAATGATCAGGTTCCAACTTTTTTGAAGGATAATTGACTTATAAGCTACAAGGATACCAGTACTGAAACTTTTTTTTTAAAATCTCAATGCCCACTGTTTAAAAGATTTTAATGCAAAAAAAGAGAATCCTGAGAAAACTATTTCAGTATCACCCCCTTTCAATTCATTAAATTCATTAACTTTGTAAGTAATCGCTGCCATCTCCAGTCTTTCATCTGAAACTAGATTTAGTTTTTGTCTTTTTTGGAAAGTAATAACATGCATTATAGGTTTCTTATAGTTCAATCACAAACATTGAATTTGGTTCTTCGTTAAATATCTTTTTCCATTTTTGAGAAACACTACATTGAGTTTACGTTCTGAACACTTTGGCATTTTCTTTCATTTCCTTATTATTCCCAAAGTTGTAACCGGAAGTTTAAGGCTGAAGTCATGGGAGACGTTAGGGAAGTTGACATTGGTCAGATACGTCTGGAGGGCAAAAAGAAGGTTTTGAGTTAACGTAAAGCTATGACGTTTTAAGAGGTTCGGGTAGTAAAGAAGCTCTAAATACACTGAAGTAAATAGAGTATCTTCGTTATGGACAGACTGACAAACAAGTTTGTTAAGGCCACAGTCTGAACAACTTTGGCTTCTGACGCCTGACGTTGGCTAGTTAGCTGTTAGCTGCACTGCTAATCCTAGCTATTAAAAGCACATGTAATTATAAGATAAGTCAACGACGCAAAAACCGAGAACGGAAAGCAAATGTAACTTACACTGGACGTAAGGTTAGAACAAGGTTAGGCAGCACTTCTCAATCTTGAAGGCCATGCAAATGTGCCTGTGCAATGAGTCTTTCAAGGACCACATTTACTGCTGCCAGAGTTCTGGCTGCGTGAAGAGCAGCATGTAACCCAAACCACGCGGAGAGACGCGGGAAATGTAGTTCCGTTCAATCGAGCTCCAAGGAGATTCACGTTAGTTAAAACACATTTCCCATAATGCCGTAGCACTGGTCTCGAGGTTTGTTTGCGCTGGATTGCTTTACAGTCACTTTTTTCTGTTATTGACTACAATTGCCAAATACACTTTAGATCATTAATATGTCAAACATAATTTCACTTTTTTCAAATGAAATACAAATTAAATGAAATTGTTATTTTAACACAACGCAAAAAATTCAACATGTACTTTTAGTATTATATTGTGAATAAATGTTGTTATATAATATCCAATACAGCAGTTTTAAATATACTCAAATGTTGATAATTAAAAAGAAAAACGAACAAAATTGTTGAAAAGTGTGTATTTATTGAAGACAATGTCCATTGAGACGTGGTACTTTAAAGAACTTGTAATAGGCGTGTTCTACCACCAGGGGGCAAACTGCTCCCAAGTAAAAGAGTTTTTGTTTTTTTTGCTCTCGAATAAAAATAACTCACCTAAATATACTCCGTGCCTGCTCCGTTTACCAACATTCTTGTTGTGGCAGCCATAATCATTACAACAATGTGATTCTGATAAAATTTGTGTAAAAGGAATGTGAACTGAATAGAAGAAGAACATGTTTATCTGTATTAAAGGGGATAAGAATAAAGGGAAAATGCCATGGTTGATACAGAAATGTTACAGGTCCAGACAGAGAAAAATGAGGCACACAAACATTCACATTCAGAATTTGCTCAACTAAACCAAACAAGCGTGTTTTCAGTAGTTGGATCTAAATTTCATATTGTTGTGCGGCACACTTGTTCAGTGTGTACCCTGTCTCTTGCCTATAGTTGGAATCGTTTCTTGCTAACCTGTAACAGTGAAATGGGTTAATCTGGTATAGCAAAAGGCTTAAAGATAGTTCTGTGTTCACCAATATCAGGGACTGCTGAACTATTGTAGTTTGTGAACACTATGGCCCTTCTTTTTTAATGATCCAAGTTACTAAGAGCACAAGTTGAATATAGAAATGTCATCGATACATTCACTTTCTCAAAATGATGATGTTTTATTTTTGCCTTCTCACACACACTTAGATCAAACTAATATCTTTTTTTTGTCTCCATGTTCTCAAAAAACGAACGCGCAAGTTTGTCAAATTGACAAACTAAGGGCAAACTTGAGCAAAGAGTGGCCATGTTTTATTTTGGTTTTTTCTTAATTAAGAAGAAACATGCATATATTCTATGTGGATGGAAAGCTTTAAATTGCAATCTATGTGCGGTTTCATTAATCTTTTTTTTGGTGAATATGCTCGTGCTCCACTGCCTGGATGAAAACAGCTGTAAACTACTGGTACAATTTGTAATGAAGTGTGCCTGCAGGAGTTACACTACAAATGGAACAGCACCTACACCATGCTGCAGAGCTCTGGGATTATTAAAGTATTTCTGATTCTGATTATATGAGGAGAGAGCCAGTTGGTGGTGCCGTTGTCTCTTTGAGGACAGATCTGGCACAAATCACTGCCGAGGAGTACGACTCCATTAAAGAGTCTCTGGGAATGCTTTGTCTGAATTATATGGCCACCACTGAACTTTCTGAAGAGCATAGAGTATCTGAGTCCAAAAGGATTCAATTTGTCTACACACTGCTCTGCACGGTCTATAAGAAACAACTAAGTTCAGGTTGAAAAAAGCCCTCCAGCTGTGTATTAATTTTACAAGGATGCTGAGCTGAGTTTTTTCTTCTCTTGAGACCATGAGTGTTGTGACAGTTGCTACACTGCTCTATCTAGGCTCCTGCAGCCATAAAAAAGCAGCAGTTAAACGTCTGACTGCGCCATAATCAGAGAAGAAAAAGCAAAACATGCCAACCCCCCACGGAGAGAACCTGCAAGCGGTCCTGCATCACAGCCAGGTACAGTCTGTGCTGGGGTAAATATCACATGCACAGGGTTCAAGCATAATCTTGAGATATCTTCAATGACTTTGACTTTTCCAATATAATTAAATAGAATTTATATTTTGTGTTAACTGTGCAGGAATTTAATTTGTTATTTATTTATAGGCAATGTTCGGTGGGATTTGCTGGACAGCCGTGTAATGGAGAGGCAATTAGAGGATATCCAAAGAGACGTTGCGGATCCTTTAATTCCCAGGACAGAGGATCCACTCCACATCTGGGCAACGAGGAAGACCGTTTACCCACAACTACATCAGCTTGCGCTGCAGTTTCTGTGCACTCAGGCGTCGTCAGTCCCATGTGAAAGGAATATTTTCAATGGCAGGAAAAATTAGCTCTAAGAAAAGGAGCAGACTCAGCCTTGTTCACTGTGGAACAAATAATCGTCCTCAATAAAAATCATATAAAACAACCTTATATGCATTCCGTGTTCATTCTACCTGTTGATAAGTACTTTCGGCTGCATGTAGCCGCTCAGCAGGCCTGGAGAAGGATGAATGCAGGTTCCATGGAGTACACATGGTCCCGTATGAAAGAAAAGCACATCTGTCTGCTTGTCTTGACCGATTTTATTGTTTCAAACAACATTGCAATGTGTTTCAAACATGCAAGATTTCAGCTTTAGGTTTTAACAGATCATTCTCTAGTGTTTTTTTTTATTAGAAACAGTTTATCCTTTAATTGCTTACTGACATTTTAACTCAGTTTTTAACTTATGAACGTAGTTTTAAGGAGTCATTTTGGACTCTTTCTTTTGACAGAGAAAGAAAGAGTGATTTTGCCTTTCTGCCACAGTGGTGGGGTTATGGTAAAGGCCAAATAAAACTGCTTTGTCAGCAGCACTCGAGGTCTATTAAAGATCTGCATATTAACATTGTGGAGTTATAAAAACTGAGTAAAACCACAGAAAAGTGAAAGCTTTTTAAACAAAACAAGAAACACAAAATGGTTCACATTTGGCTCAGAAGTTCGGAACAAAGACATTTTAAAATGATAATAATAAATACTTGAGCAACAAGTATTAGACAGGGTTGCGTGGGTGTATGCTACACAAGGCCTTTAATTGTAGATATGTCCAGTACAATATAAAGCTAGAAAGGCTCCCATACTCTGTGAAAGACATGTCAAGTAGTCCAATGAGACGTATTCCAGTATTGAACTTATGCAAGCCTGTTTTGGATGGGAGCCTATCTGTTTTCCAGTTCAGAGGAACACACCTTATCTAGCACAACATGTCAACATTTTGTAGAACTTCCCTGTATATTAGTCAGTAACATCTCACAGTGGATCGCATTCAGTAGTAATAGATAAAATCTTGTTGATTTCTGGCCCTACGCTTGCCAATTTCCCCGTATGTTCCTACAGAACAATGACAATGAGTGAGACTACCTACTTCTATTTTGCACTTAGGACATTGGGGAGAACAGTTTATGTCAAACTTGTGACGCAGGGTGGAGGAAATGTGAGCTCTGTGTAGAATCTTGAGTTGAATTGCCTTGACTCTGTTGCAGAAACTTAAGGTGTTAGAACTCTTCAAAGCATTTTTCCATCTCTATGTAGAGATGGAGAGATGTTTATTTCAGGTAAGAGGTGTTACTTCCACCACACAATGAGTACAAAAAAATTATGGATTTTCCCAAGTGCTGTGAGAAAAGATGCTTCTAGGAGTGGGAAATGCTTCGATTGCTGAGAATTGTTGTGTCCTTCCTAATTAAATCCCTCATCTGTAGGAAGTTGAAATAGTTATGTTTCGGAATTTTGTATTTTTCTTGTAATTGATCAAAGCACATTAAAATGGAATCCGTCAAATAAGTTATACAGATTGAGTAAGCTGTAAATAAAAAATAAGGATCAAGTAGTGTCTGTAGAAGCAAACATTACATGTTACCTTCAAACTCCATTTATGCAAACTCCAGCTCAATGAATAGGAAATGCATCACATTTGTGTTAAGCAATTTGTAAATAAGGCTCTTCATCTTGCTTTTCATTGTCAGACCCTATCAAAGGGTCTAGCCTGGTTAAATCCAAATGGTACTTGGGTAACTAGTCGAAAGGGTGAGGAGAGATGGTAAGGCCAGAGGTAGAAGGAAATGTGCCTCTTCTGAGAGCACAACTTCTTTCTTGGGAAAAGAAATACACACTGATACAGAAACTGTGTTCATGTGAGTTTCATCCATTTATTGCACAGCAAGACACTTGTACTAGTCCTCCAAGGGGAGTCTAATAAAGCATGTGTGACATTTTATGACCACACAAAGATTATGATTCTGAACGCCATTATCGTACACAATGTATGCTCTTCCTAGATATAGTCATCCTTTAAGTGTAGGAAGGCTTTTCTTGAAGGAAGCCTTCCTCGTAGATAAATTGGGGCGACACAGTAGTGTGGTGGTTAGCACCGTTAAGACACTGCAAAAGGGTTCCTGGTAACCACTACCCGGGGGACTGGGACCTCTCTGTGTGGAGTTTCAATATTCTCCCTTTTCTGCTTCTGTTCAGTCCTGCTTCTTTCCACTGTTAGCCCGATTCTTTAGTTGGAAACCTGAGAATAAACCAGAGTAGATCAAGAGTAAAAAATGACATTTATTGGGTCACAGGTAAAGTATTTCAGCGCTGGGCTCTTCACAGAGGAAACTTCTCTCTCAGGGTCTCAGTCGGCAAAGAGCCCTGAGATCTGGGGGTGATGGGTCTTTGTCTCCTGGGCTGGGCACACCCCTCAAAAGGAGGACTGGACACAACCAAGTCCTATTGGTTAGTTATCTGTAAGACTAACAAGCCGGGTTCTAATTCATGTTGGTGACATTGGAATGTGGTACCAAATGGTGTGTGTGTGTTGACTTAAGGACGTGGATCTAATGCAACAGATAAAGAGGATAGAAAGAAAAAGAGAGAACAAAGAGAATCTGTGGTTACAGCCAGAGACTTCAACACAAAATATAGTTATAATATAAAAGGAAACAATCAATAATATGCATAGATCATGTGATAGCAAACAATGCTAAAGTGTGTATTTATAACCAAATCCTAACACCACCATACAAAAACATGCAT